CCCCCCCCCCCCCCTCACTCCCCCCAAAGAAGGTGTTTGAGTCTGGCCTATTTGGCATGCTCCAGGGTTTGAGCGTTTCAGCCATTATCATTGAAACTTGAAACTAAAACACACATCCTAGTAGAAAATGGAAACAAATACTTTCATTCATAATCACAACTCAAAAGATGTAACAAATCTTGTCCTTTATTTCTCATCATAATAAAAATGCATCTGAAATAAAGACAATTACTTTAAAAATATATCTTTTTTGAAAAATAATGATTCATTCCGATGGAAGTATCTAGGTATGGATACACAAACAATCAGAGCTAAGCTCATTCCTTCTTTATTGTAATTTTGTATATGATTTCTAGAGGAATGTAGGAGAGTGTCCATGATGCTTGTTATTTGCAATGATGATTATGGAGGGTAGATTTTATAAAGTGACAGAATTTGGAGTACATTGATTATCATTATTGGTCTATGTATTTCCTCTCAATTGATATATAATTAAGACCATATGAGTTTTTATTATGTTTGCTTTACTGCCCAAATTATTCTTTTAGTGCACTATGTACACTACCTTCCACTTCTGAATGTACATTCTTTCTACAGAAAATAATTACAAAACTTCCATGAATTCTTAAATTTTAAAAATATTCTAAGAATTTTTAATATTTTCCTTTTGAGGTCTTCTTCATAGAAAGACACCTATACGGCTCTACCCTGTAAAGTTTTCATTACACATCTAACCCTCCCCAATTTATACTAACGCATCCCGTGCTTCTGAAAGTAACTCCTGCATAGGCAATACTGCCTATATTTTCAAATAAACTAGGAGACACATGAATGCACACACATACCCGAAAGTTTGTGTCTTTTTGTTTGTGACTATATCATTTCTCTTACTATTGGCCTTAAATGCTTAATGGGAAATCTCCATATTTCCTAAATCAAAAAGTGACTAAAGTGAGCAATTTTCTCTCACTATTGGCCCTTAAGTGCTTAAGGTCAAATCTCCCCATTTCCTAAATGGCAAAGTGAGCAATTTTCCTGATTATGTGGAGAATAGAACTGTTGTAAATTTGCACTGTAATTAACTTCATGTTTTTTTACTGTTTTGTCCAAGATCTAAAACCTAACTTCACTTGAATGGGATAAGCAATAAGTTGACACAAACAATTACTTTATCAAAATTCTCAACCATACCCACTTTCACATTTTCTTGAATAGAAGAAAAAGGAAAAACTTTGTTATTTGTTTTTTTACAGAAACCCAATGTCTAGTGTAATACAGAACTCGAGTGAGGGACAAACCGTGAAAATACAGGTGGTTTACAGGAGTATAAAATGGATTTCAAGGTGGGGACTGATGAGAGGCTAGGCAGACAGAGAGAGCGACCTGGGCTTCACGGCACTGTTGGCGCTTGATGGCAGTGCCGCCACTCGAGCAGAGGCTGCGAACGGCATCAGACTCATCAGGACAGACCTCCGCCACAAGACACTGTGCCAGAGACCGATTCAAATGGCGGCATGCTATCTCCCGGTCCAGACCACCCCGGATCCGGCGGTGGCAATTCGTTAAGGCTTCATATAGCTGACTGCATTTGTTCAGGTTACCCTCGCCGGAAGCCGACGGCGAGCCGGGATCACCTGACATGTAGGGCATGTCGGATTGGGGAATCTGGCAGGCTCCGTTCTACTGAGTGCAGCGGGATTCCCCAATTAAAAATATACTCCGTACTATGCGAACAAATAGATCAAATTAAGCAAAAAAAAAATTTGCTCTATCCTATTTTGGAATAAAGACTGGCAGGTCCCAATTTAATTCTTTTAAAAACTTACTCTTGGTGATTTAAAATATGATGTTTCTGACTGAACTTCCGTCCATTGCACCGTTTCCTACCTGATTTGACTATTATACCCCTTGTTTTTACCCAAAAAAGACAGACAACTTCCTGCGTTTCTCATTCTTCTTCGAAAGAAAGGAAGGTTCGCTTCCTCTTTTGGCTTCCCGTCAAGATTGCCTTTCTTGGTGTCAATGGTACGTGTTTGGATCGATTCCACTGATGTTTTATCAAATATCTAGGGTTTATCATATTTCTCTTGGATTTTACTTAACAATATGAATCTAGGGTTTTTAAATTTCAATTTAATTCTACTGAACATGAATGAATGGTTTCGGTTATTAAAATTGATTTTGTTTTATCAACCTTGTATTTTTCTATCAAAGTCCTGATTGTTTTATAATTATTCTTATGAGTTTATAAATCCATATACTTAGCATATGATGTTATATACTTTAGGCTCCAACGAGATTTAGGGTGTATGTGAAAAATAAATGCATTGTGATTGAAGATATTAATTTGGATATTTACTTCACCAAAGATTTGTTTGATGATGTCATTTCCAAAGCTAAAGAACAGAATATAAGTCTTCCTAGGTTTGTTGGTTTTAGATATCATCCTCCATGGAAAGAAATTCAGAAAGAGGCACTAGCTTCTGATAGAGATTGGATTAAGATGGTTGAGATTTGGGGGGGAGTTGCTTGTAATTTCATTCCCTTATTTGTAGTTGAGTTACAAGAGCCTAGTGCATTACAAAAAATGGCAGAGGAACTTCATGTTACTGCCCAAAATTTTAAGGACCCAAGCAGTAGTGATGCTGAGCTTTGGGCTGACAATTTGCTTGTGACACCAACAAACTATAGTCAGACTTTTGAAAGTGAAGATAATGGGGGTAATAAATCTAAATTAAATGTGAGAAGGCAAATGAGTAGGACATTTGAAGTGCTGGTCCAACCATCTGTTTTAGACCTTGAGGTTCCATCCATTACTACTTCCTCTCCACACCTCTCACCCACAAGTACAGAACCTGATAGAATGACAAGAGAGGAAGTTGAGAATGATGGCAGTCCTAAAAAGAAGAAAAAGAAGCTTGTGGGGGGAGGCAGTAAAGTACTTGAGAGGACTGAGTTGAATGTCAAACTTTTGGCTAAAGAATTAAAAGGTTTAGAAGCTTATGACATTCCTGCCTTGAGCAACCCCCAAGTTCCTCCCCATGTTCCTCCCCTTGATCTTTTTTTTGAGGAGCCTGTGCTCCCTTCACAGGGGGTAATTGATGATGATAAAGCATCATCTGAAGATGAAGAAGATTGTGATTTTACAGGGAGTGAGGATGAGTGTTTGAGTAGTGAGGCAGTTTCCTTGGATGAAGAGTCAGAAATGGAGGATGAGTTTGATCTTGATGCTGACACTGCCCATAAAATGATGCTGGGTAATGAGGAAGAAAATGAAGATGGGAGTGGCAGTCAGTCCATTCTTGAGAAAATGGCTAAGGTGTTTAGGACTGGAAGGCTCTGGGTGAGAAGTGCTCATGGAAAAGTTGAACTAAAGAAAGGTGACATATTCAGTTGCAAAGAGGATTTTCTTAGGGTCATGAAGGACTATGTTATTCAAAAGGGAATTTCTCTTAGGAAAATAAAAAATGACAAGAGAAGATACACTCAAGTATGTATGAATAAGGACTGTAAATTTAAGATTCATGCATCTGTTCTAGTGATGATTAAAAGCATATGTGAGGATCATATTTGTTCAGTGAAAGAGCACCATAACAGGGATGGAGCAGCTTGGGTTGTAACTCACCTTCTAGAAAACTTCAGAAATAATAAGCAGATGAGTGTAGTTACTGCTCAGAAAATTATTTTGAAGAAGTTCAGCACTCGCATACCTGATTATACTTGCTGGAGGGCTCTTAGGGTCATGAGGGGTATGGTTGAAGGTAGGCATGAAGATGGATACAAGATGTTACCACAATACATGGAGGTTTTTAAAGAAAAGAATCCAGATTCCCATTGCTTCATTAGGTGGCAGGAGATTGGTCCAGGGAGAAACCCAGTTTTTAAGAGGTGTCAAATCTGTATAGGTTCATCCATCACAGCTTTTAAGAAGTATTGTAGACCCTTGATTGGTATTGATGCATGTCATTTGAAGGGTCCATATGAGGGAGTGCTCTTGACTGCTATGGCCTTAGATGGAAACAATGGTCAATTTCCATTGGCATATGGTGTTGCTGATTGTGAAGATGAAACAGAGTGGTCTTTCTTCTTACATGGACTAGCTGTGGCACTTGGCTGCACATCAGATGCATCCCCATACACAATAATATCTGACAGGCATAAGGTATATCTTAATTTCAATTTTAGTCTTCTATTATTATGTTTTATTATTATTAAATCTGTGATATTTCTTTATGTATTATCCTACAGGCAATAATAAAAGGACTGAGGAATGCTCTTCCTAAAGCTAAAAGAAGGATTTGTGTGCTACACTTTTATAAGAACTTTGCTTCAAAGTTCTCAGGTACATGAGCCTTCCTTAGTATATCTTTGTTCCAAGAGTGCATGACCTAAATTTCTACACAATAATAAATGGCAGGTGCATGGTTCCATTCATTCTTCTACATTGTGGCAAATACTTTCTCAGAATATGTATTTAAAAAAGCAATGGAAAAAATAAAAGAGGAGGATGTTGCAGCCTATGACTGGCTCATGGACAATGAACCACATGAACATTGGGCCAGACACAAATTTGATCCTGCATTGAAGTGTGATGACAACACAAACAACTTTGTGGAGTCATTCAATAAGGCCATAATATCACACAGAGCCAAGCCAACCTTGCAAATGCTAGAGGAGATCAGGAAATTAATAGGGAATAGATTTGAAAAAAGGTTTGACTTAGGCAGGAGTTGGTCTTCTACAATAACACCTTATTTAGACAACAAGTTGAGGGTGCTAGCAATGGAGTCTAGGGAATGTTCTGAGGTTGTTGGAGCTGGTAGAGGTGAATTTGATGTGGTTGATGGGAACACCAACTTCATAGTGAGGCTGAGAGACCATCATTGTGACTGTAATAAGTGGCAAGTGTCAGGCCTTCCTTGTAAGCATGCAGTTAGATGCATTCTGAGGATGAATGAGAACCTTGAAAACTACTGTGAAGATTGGTTTTCAGTTGAGAAGTACAGGAGGCTTTATGATGGTATAATACATCCTATCCCAGATTCTTGTATGTGGGGTGAGAGCTCACTTCCTAAACTTGATCCTCCTAAGACCTTTAAAAAGAAGGGGCGGCCAAAGAAGCACAAAAGAAGAGATGGAATTGATGATATAATTGCAAAAAAGAAGAGGATGCCTCATGGGACCAAGCACTGCAGTCAATGCAAGCAGTTGGGACACAATCATAGGACCTGTGGGCAAATGAGAGATGAAGGAGGGAGGTTGCAGAAGAAGAAACAAAACAAGAAGAAGAAATCAACAACACAAGTGTAGTTTGGACAACAAATGTATTCTGTTTTCTCTTGTAACATTGGTTGTGTTGGTTTCAATCCTGCTGTTTTTTTTTGTCACTGCAGTACTAGCAACCTATGGCACCTTGGTAACATATGTAATAGTTTTTTGGCAGTATGGTATAAAACAAAACATGGCAGTAATTTTTTGACAGATTGGCAGATTGGTATTTAGGGTGCTGCCAATAATGACCTGTGTTAGATTCAAATGATCTGTGTTGGTTTTTATGCTGCTGTGCTATTTTATTTTGTTTATGACTATATATATATATATATATATATATATATATATATATATATATATATATATATATATGGCAATGCATTTGTTTTGCTGATTCTGTTCTGAAAATGATCTGTGTTGGTTGTTTCAATTCCACTATGCTCTGAACAATGACCTCTGTTGCTGATTCTGATCTGTAAATGACCTTTGTTTCAATAATGATCTGGTTCGGGGTGGTACGGGTTGGTTCGGGGTGGTAAGGGATGGTTTGTTCTCGGGTTGGTTCGGGATGGTTCAAGATGGTTTGCTATCGGGATGGTACGGGTTGGTTCGGGAAGGTTCGGGGTGGTTCGGGATGGTTTGTAATCGGGATGGTATGGGTTGGTTCGGGGTGGTTCGGGATGGTTCGGGGTGGTACGGGTTGGTTTGGTATCGGGATGGTTCGGGATGGTAAGGGATCGTTTGTTCTCGGGATGCTTCGGGATGGTTCCGGATTGGGTTTTCGGGAAATATCGGGACCGGTATTCAAGGTACATTTAACTACATGTATTGTTATTAAAAAACATCTTCTCCACATTGATCATGAGTTCCAAAATACATCACATGAAATACACCAATTCAACAAACACTACATCAAAATACCAACCCGTTTACATAAATCATACAAACACTAGTTCAAGGATTCAAGCAACATCAAATTACATAAACAATACAAATATTGCCATGTTGAGGACCAATGCAGCACAAAACCCAAACATAAAGGCTCCAATTTTCTTCTCTTTGATACGCTTGTTTAGAAGCTTTATCTCTTCAGAAGTCCGGGAATGATCTTCTTAGCTCGGTCGCATATTGGAGGATCGACCCATTCCCAAGAACAATATTTCCGAGTACCCTGTTCAACATCATCCTACTTTAGCAAAAAAACAACTGAATATCGCTTAAAAAAATATATGTCTTACATTTCCATTACACTTCCACATTCTTCTTCTGGGATTCTTATCAGTCCAAGATGTAATAATACTCATGTCTTTCCCGCACCTACAGGTAGGTACCTCCAACCATTCACCATACTCACAAATTTTTCTTCATGAATTGAAAGAGTGGCTAGTAAAAAAATCAAAAAAAAAAAAAAAAACAGAGCGTATAGTTATAAATCAACTATGTAAAGTAATTCACAGTAATAATATTTGCTTTAATACCTCGAATGATCCACTACTAACCGAAGATCAGATTCAAGATCAGATTCAAGCTCGAGATTCAAATGTAGAATAAACCTGCACCCAAATACAATAAACCCCAAACTCATGATAGTCAATTACAAGCACCAGAGCTTACCGAAATTCATATAATACCTGAAGAAGCAGAGATGAAGCTTCGACTCTTCTCCTTCGTCTCTCTCCTTTCTCTCCTTCGAAGCTTCGCCGTAAACTACAAACCCTAGTCGTTTCAGGATTTCTAAGATTAAAGAGGAAATATTGAGGGTTATATTAGGCATTTCACAACCTTTTATAATTAAAATAACCGGAGTTAAGGTAGGAAACGGTGCAATGGACGGAAGTTCCCTCCTCAGTCAGAAACATCATATTTTAAATCCCCAAGAGTAAGTTTTTAAAAAAATAGGGACCTTCCCAAAATAGGGGATACCTGGCAGCAATTTTTTGTCAAATTAAGTGTTGGAAAAGATGTTGTAGCACTTATTAGAGAATCAATAGACAAACATAGTCCAATGGATTAAGCTATGTGTACCCCAACATTCGTACCCCGCAGGTTTGCACCAACATTTTGTGTTGGTGTAAAACTAATTTTTCTTAACGCACCAACACTTTGTGTCCGTGTAAATTTTTGTTAACGCACCAACACTTGTGTCGGTGTAAACCATCAAAATGTTTGTGCATAACTGTGGCGTACAAATGGGGTACATTTTTTGGTGTAAGTGTAGCATGGTCCTAGTCCAATATTATGTTAGGAATTGATATTTGTAAATCAAAAATTGTATCTCATTTTGTATCAATATTTTGTGATAGCGTGATGCTAGTGTGATGTTTTACAATAACATAAAATATTAATGCATTTTTTTTAAACTAACATTTTGTATAACTGTAAATCGCTAAAATACTGATACATCTCTTTGAGGTACAATTTGAATTACACTTCTTAGTGTACCCCAAGCATAATGTAGAATTGTTTGTGTAGTTCAGAGCAAAATCTTTTGCGTGGTACTCACGCTCGTGTAATAGCATTTCACTAAATCTTACACTAGTCAATAACAACGTGGTGAGACACTATTCTCCAAATTGCTATGACAAAATCTCAAAACTAAGGCTTCTTTCTCGAATCCTGTTCGAGTTCCTTCTCGGCTATACACTTTTACCAAAATATCTTCAAAGAAGCGTTTGCAACCATAGTCCAAAATCAACTTCTCTAATCTAGACCTTGGCTTGTAGAAAACTTGACGGACAACAACAACAATTGGTAACATTGGATTTACTGCATAAATTCTGGAGTTGCAATTCTGCAACTTTGTCTAACAGCAATACTCTATAATTTTTCGTTCCGTTGTGTCTATTCTCCAATTAGCATATACTGTAGAAAAAATATACTCCATATAGCTTTTACTTTGGTCACCCTACAATGACAACAACAAAGCTCCATATTTTTTTCTTAACCTTGGAAGCTTCACGGTGAAAGAGCTCTAATCTGCGATGTGGTCGACGAAGAAAACCTTCCTACCCTAGTCCAATTTGAACTCACCCTCAACCCCATCAATTTTATCCTCTACATTTAGTTAACTTTGGTGTCCACCTCCTTAAAAAAAAACTTTGGTGTCCACCTTTTTGACCCAATAATCAATTAAATTTGAGGTATAAAACTAAAGGGGTTGGAGACTTGGTTCAAATGAGGCCGGGATGGAGGTGTTCACCAAGGTGTTATGGAAGTGGAAACAATAAAACAAACAAACAGAGCCAATTAGAACTCAGAACAAGGGTCATCCACTCATTTGGAGCCACTCAAACTGAGTAGCTTTAGAACCTCTAATATTTTATTTTTAAAATCTAAAAATACTTCTATATTGATTTTTTTTTATCCCAAAAAGGATTTCTTATTTTTTCTTTCGGAATTTTAATAATTTCTTTAGAAAATTTTGAATGACTCAGAATCTTTATTTACCATCCGTGTCACTTTAATCTAAACATTTTCACTTTTCTAATTCTATCCAAGCCAAAAGGAGTATTTATTTGTCTAAGGAGTATTTCTACTTTTTTTGGAAATATAGGACCATTGGTCATTATCTATTAGTCATTATTCAACTAAATATCCAGCATCACTTGGACATTATTCTTTTCACTAGTCATTATTAAGTCCTATTTAGAGAATAAAAAAGTTTAAATCCTACATTTAGAAATGACTTATGTTTTAGTCCTATTCCGTGCAAATTTTACTCTTTCTTTTTAAGCAAGGAGTATTCCGTATTAAGGGGGGTGTATTCAATCTGGATTTTGTAGTATTTTTTTGGATTTCAAAAGTCTATGGGTATTCAATCCTGATTTAAAAAAGTCATTTAAAATCCGGAAGTATTCAATTCAAATTTTAATATATCCTTCTAAATATAATGGTATTCAAAAATCAATTGATTTTAAAAGATTTCTATAATCTATGGATTTTGATGGTTTTAGGGCTTTGGGTATAAATTAAAATCTAAGTCCAAAATCTCACAAAAAATGCAAAGATTTTGCAAATCCACGCAGGATTGTCTCCTTCACCATCTCGCCCCAATCTTCCCCGGCGTCCATCTCGCCCCAATCTTCCCCGGCTAGTTTTCTCACCGGAACCCAATCTTCCCCGGCGTATCCTCCATCGTCACGCAGGATTATTTCGTGCCCCAATCTCGCCTAATCTCTTTCATCGTCACGCAGGATTGGACCTATTTTGAGCAGCATCACTTGAAATCGACGGCGACTCAACGTGGAGCAACGATGGCGGCGACTCGACGTGGTGACGGCGACCTTCGAAATAGCAGAGGGAATGACGAAGATCGAAGAAGAGAGAGGGGCTAGGGTTTCTGGGGAGGAAGAAGGAAAAAAAGAAAAGAAAAGAAAAAGAAAAAAGGGAAGAAAAAATAGGAAGAACGGACGGAAGAAGCAGCTAGGGTTTCATGGGGGAGGAGGAAAAAAAGAAAAAGAAAAAAGAAAAGAAAAAAAACAAAACAAAAAAGAAAAATATAATCCTATAAAATCCTTTGATGGAATACATTAGAATCTAGTTAACTCTGCGTAAACTTAAAACAATCCAATGAACTTACAGAATTTATGAATTCTAAATAATCTATCAAAATCTTTTAAAATCTAAATTGAATACCCCACTAAATAACTAAATAAGGAGTAATTATTTGTCTGTTCCACCTCACGGGAGACTTTCGTGGAGCCTGAAGAGCCATCCGAAGTCCGAACCAATTAACAGACCAAACTACAAGCAATGTGTATCGTGGAGTCTGAAGAGCCACCCGAACGGGTTGCTGTGTTTCTTCTACCTTCTCGTATTTGAGCTCCCGTCGATCATCGTGGAGTCATAACCAGAAATGATTCCCCAAGCTGCCATGGCGATGTCGCCATCTTATGCTTCCGCCTGGACAACGCCACTTCTCAGTTTCAATGCCGGTAAGCTATCTGGCTAAGCCCGCATGCTACCTAGCGAGAGTATATTGCATCATTGATACAGATTCACGGGATTTTTCAGTATCAATTTCAGGAATGTTTCTGAAGCGACCATCTTCGATTCTGATGCAATTGGGGAGCTGTTGCCGGAGTACGAAATTTCAGAGCAGAATATTTAGTTCTGCTTCTTCTGGTAGCATTCCGGTGCTGGGCAGTGCGTTCCGGGTCGAAGCTAAGGCTGGTGGGAGAAATGGGAGCGATTTGGAAAGTAATGGAATTGCGGGTTCTCCACCTCTAATCCATAAATGGCATGATGAGAAGGTTATTCAGAAATTTCCCTGTCTATGTGTTACGAAGTATATTGGAATGCAATATTCTTAACCCCAAAAGAGTTGGGGCTTGAAAACACCCAGTCTCAACAATATATTTCATTGTCCTGATTTAATTGTCCACTTTATCATTTTGTCCTCCGGCATTGTTTTCAACTTTACATATTTAGTAAATAAATTGTGGTGTATTATCTAAAGGGAGAAACCAAATCCATACCCTAAATGGTTAATGCAACTCCCCCACCCAAATTTGCTTAATCCACCCCATAAAGGAGGATACAGAGTATTAATTTATATAGGTGAGACCGTGAGAGTCGATTTATCAAATTTTGGGTGAGGGGGTGGCATTAGCCATTTAAGGAGCTGATTTATCCCCTCCCTATCTAAAATGCCCTATATAGCATATTATCATGGTAGACACCTATCAAAGAATGATAACCCCATTTATAGGGCTTATATGAGATTTCACTCTCTCCCCTAAACTAGTTCTTAACTAAATAAATACTTCATTTGTTCTTAAATAAGTGCAATTTACACTATTCGTTCACTCTTATTTGATTATTTTTTTTCTTATACATAATACATATAGAAAAAATATAGTCATGTGGGGTCTTTTTATATTCGTCTAGATATAAACTTCCATATTATTAACTTTTTATATTATTTTCTGAAATATAATTGAAGTTATCAATGATTTAGCTTACATATTGGCAAACATGAAAATCTTGATCTTGCATTTATTGAAGAACAATGGAAGTATGAGGTATTTTGAAAAGTGGACAACCATAACTGAACGGGCGAGTATTAATTCAACTAATCAAATGGATAAGAGCATCTAGGATGTGTGTATGTTATAGCAAACTTACATTCATTGTAGTTAGATTTGGTAATTGCATTTGTACTAGGCTTAGTACGCTATTTTGGGCAAAGGTTGTTTGTCTTTCTCACATAAAAATGTGTTTAAAGTGGTTCTTTGAAGCTAAGTAGATTCATCAACTTCACATTTGATGCCTGCACTCTGCAGAGGCCTAGGGTTTGCATACTTGGTGGTGGATTCGGAGGACTTTACACGGCACTGAGACTGGAATCACTTGTTTGGAGGGATGACAAAAGGCCCCAGGTAGATTTTTACTCCCTTCGTCCCACTAGAATTTTCCACTTTGCTTTAGCACGGAGGTTAAGGACTTGGAAGAAAATGTCGTTGAAGTTTATATAAAAAAGAAGAAAAAAGATGGAGCACAAATTGTTTTCCATGAAAAGAATATGCTCAGAGTTCAGACGATGCTATTGCCTAATATTTCATCAATTTATTCAACAAATTCATATTAACACTGGTCATTGAATGCATGTATTTGATTCAACCTTAATTGGGGGTATAAGTATTTTGGCAGCGTGATTGGATGTTTGCTCATTTATATACTGAATTATACTTCTTCTACACTCTTGCAGATTATCCTCGTTGATCAATGTGAACGTTTTGTTTTCAAGCCCATGCTATATGAGCTTCTTTCTGGGGGTATGTTATTGGTTTCGCTTATGAATATTCTTTTGTACTTTTTGTTGCTGAAGACTGAAGTCTATTCTTTTCATGGTTATTGCTATTTTGTAAATGCAGAAGTGGACATGTGGGAAATCGCACCATTATTCTCTGAATTGCTTGCAAACACAAACGTGCAGTTCTTTAGAGACAGGGTCAAATGCCTATATCCACGTGACCATTTACTTAAAAATATGCCTACAACATCTGGCCCTGGAGGAATTGTTCATCTTGAAAGTGGCATTGCTATTGAATATGATTGGTATATTTTTTAGAATCGTGCCAAGATTAGCTTAGTTCAACTTTTTAGGAAGCCTTAGACAATAAAAAATATAATGAAAATATTTAACTGTTTCACTTAATTCAACATCCAGTCTTAAATACGGGTGATTTTCACTTCCATGTTTCTTACAATAGTTGTGGGTCGACCATTAATTGTAAGGAACCCAAGTGAATTTGCATTATAATTAATGCCAAACATAGCATTGGTACTGATATTATTGAGACACTATTTGAGCACTTGAAAGTAAAGCTCTCTTTAATTAGTTCTTACAAGAATGCCATTTTCATAATTGCTGGGTAAAAGTATTGGATAAGTTTGTTGGCCAATCATGATTGGTTGATATGCACTAAGCAAGCTGCGGTGACATCACAGGCCTATGAACTTTACTAACCCCGGACAAGTGCCTTCAATTGCAATGCCCGGATTTTTTCAAAATTAAATAAATTCTCTTAGAATTGATGGGATTACCATTTTATCTTTTGGGCTTTTTATTACATGATGAGGTGATGACTGATGATACGTGAAGCCGAAATCATTTTGATGAGCTAACTTTCAGCATGTGTAGATATGAAGCTCCATGTTGTACATGTGGTTCTTTTGCAATAGATGGCAATCATAGTAAACTATTCCTTGTCATTGAGCATCCCCCCGCATACTTATGACATATCATTCCAAACATTTCTTTAGAAGTATTCCTTCCTTGAATGGTTCTGAATCTGAGCCCTTTGCTTATTTTACTCTCAAAAGTTGTCACTGATTTACATACTTTACATTTGGGCAGCCAGGTTGGTTCTTGCGCTAGGAGCTGAAGCCAAACTTGATGTTACACCAGGAGCTTCCAAATATGCATTGCCATTTTATACCCTAAAGGATGCTCTTGTCAGTATGGGGATAATGCTTAGAGATTCTTATATGCTCTAATAAATTACATTTTCAGCTTTTATGTGCCCCCTCTTTGAAATTATATTTGTATTAGCAGAAGGTTGATGAAAAGCTACGAGATCTTGAGCGTAAGAACTTTTGCAAGGATTCTCCTATACGCGTGACAGTGGTAGGATGCGGTTATGGTGGAGTTGAATTAGCTGCTACTATATCTGAAAGATTGGGAGATAGGGGAGTTGTACAAGCCATTAATGCAGAAGAGACAATATTGCCGAATGCTCCAGAGGGAAATAGGGAGACTGCATTAAGGGTAAAGAGCCTCATATGCGAACAACATCATTCATGCTTTTGGGCATCTAGATTATGTGCACATTATGGTCTACGTAAAATTTTCTAATTAACTTCTGTAAAAAATTCAGGTTCTCTCATCCCAGAAGGTTCAACTATTACTTGGTTACGTTGTCAGTTGCATAAGAAAAGAGGTCAAGGGTGAAATAGATTATGATGATCCTGCAAATATTTTATCTGTTCATAATGCTGCAACAGCTCATTGTCCTGAAAGGATAATCCTGGAGTTACAGCCCTCTGGAAGAGATTCGCAGGGTCAAATTGTGGAATCAGATCTAGTTTTATGGACTGTTGGGTCAAAGCCTCTACTTCCGGAGTTAGATCTTGACGATAATTCATATGAACTTCCTCGCAATGCTCGAGGACATGCAGAAACAGATGAAACTCTCCGAGTTAAGGGTCACCCACGCACATTTGCAGTCGGTGATGCTTCTGCATTGAGAGACAATAATGGAAAATTTCTTCCAGCCACTGCACAGGTGATTGAAAAAAATGTTATTTTGACAACTGGAATCACAAAGAATATTCACAAAAACATTAACCTTAACTGAAGCTGTGTCCCTCAAGGACATAAATTAGTCTAACATTCATTTTGAAGTATGCATATTTCATTTTATCACTTGCTACCTTTTTCTTCGCAGGTTGCTCTCCAGCAATCCGATTTTGCAGGTTGGAACTTGTGGGCTGCTATCAATGGCCGGGCATTGTTGCCATTTAGGTAGTGTTTTGAATTTGTTCTTGTTTATTTATTACCGTTTTGCTAATCATTTTCTTAGCGCATGGGTCGAGCATTCCAAAATTGGAAGTTTATCATTTAATGGACATATTAAATTATCACATCAAATGGATTCAATCATGTCTATTTAATGATACATTTCCCTATTTGGAATGCTTAACCAATGCCCTAAGGGCAATGGTTAGCAAAATGGTAATAAATAACATTATTTTGACATCGATGATAATTCTGTTTCACGTTCTTCTGTTTTTGAGTAGTTCACGTTAAAACGAAATGGCTTGATTTAACTTTTGTAATGGAAATACATATCATAATCAGTATCACCATTTTATAATGTAATGGCTTGATTTAAAACTAGTAAACACTACAATTTCATGTGAAAAGGCATCCCGACAATGTTTTACGCCGGACGCCCTTTCCTGTTTTACATGAAGGAATAATGAGATGAAATTGTAAATTCGGCATCATCACATGTTAATTTCACACGCACGGAAAATAGCTTGGGGCAACAATGACTTTCTGTTGTAATGACCATTACATGATTGATATTGTAAAATCAATACATGCAAATTGTGAAACATGATAGTGTAATGGAAAAATACCGGGAGAGTATTACAAATGTTTGGGAAGAAAGTACTGAGACTGGCTTCTATGATTGATACAGGTTTCAAAATTTGGGCGAAATGATGACTCTTGGCAAGTATGATGGTGCTGTTTCCCCGAGCTTCGTAAATGGGGTTACCTTGGATGGTCTTGTAGCTCACACTGGTACCCTCCTCTACCCCCCCTCCCTTATTTCATTGAACTCCCATTTCTGTTAACACCTTCATTCTCATTGCAGCGAGAAAAATAGCATACTTGATCAGATTGCCAACGAATGAGCACCGTGCAAAAGTTGGGTTCAGTTGGCTAGCTAAATCAACTCTGGATTCGTTGCAGAACATGCTTAGCAAAGGGCTTTCATGAAATTAGATTTATACTATGGGGGACAAATTTTGTCTCTTTTATGGTATAACGGGCACATGATGGGACTCACTGCCTTTTGTTTGATCAAATATACAGAACAAAATATTTAATGGGGAAATACATCAATTCATATACTCCGTACCTTATTATTGTAAATAATGTATATTTTTATTATTTCGCTTTTGTTTTTGTATGATTGACAAGAATGATGGATTGGGATTTTGTTTATTTAGATTAGTACTTCACAGGCATATTGGTTAAGATTTACACATGACCAACCATGCTCCGGGTTCTTATCACATGCAATAGGTACTCTTTTATGCCTATGTTTAATGCTAAGTGAAGATGAAGTTAAAGATTATACTTTGATAAAGATAGAGATGCTCTTTAGAGCACGTTGCAAAAGTCTTCATCACCATAATGAAACCTTTTCCAAGCAATGATCCAGCGTCCATCGCTCGCAATAGGCTGATACTTGATAAACTTCAATATGATTGCATAGTATTGGCACATGATTATAGAGACATGATGGGATATTTAAACGATGAAAACCGAGCAGCATATGAGGCAATAATAAGACCTTTAGAGAAGGGGTTGGTATAGATAAGACTTTTGTTTGGAAAATTTTATCCGTCGCACTGCGTTCAAAAGGAGAAATTGTGTTAAATGTTGATCCTAGTGAATTGCATCACTACTCCCTGGAGGAAGCACTATGCACTCCCGATTTTGGATTCTCATAAGTCCACATGAAATTTCCACTTATACATCAAACATGGGACATCATAAGCAGAGTTACTCCTCCGAACAAAATTGATTATTTGGGGTGAGGCCCCAATGACTCATAAACTTTGCTTCGCGGTACTTGATAGAACTTTGTGGGATATAATGTTAGTGCATGATCCAAAAAACGTTGAGATAGAATTTAGGGGAAAAACAATAGGTTTAGGATGGGACTTCTACCAAATATCACATATCATACCTAAACATCGTTAATGCAACATTTTATTCTTCTTCATAGATCTGGCAGTTTTGTACTATGCGACGTCGCATTAAGAACATGTGTCTACAGCACATGGCTCATGACAATAGCTATAAAAGAATGGTGAGATTTGCTAATTGGATAACAAGTATTAGAGATGGCCTTGCGAAGAAGAAAATTAAATGACGGATGCTATAATGTATATATTCCTGCATATATGATCTTGCGAAGCACAAGTGATCCCGTTGTAGCAATTATTCACACCACCAACCCAAATTTTGATAATATTGCTAAAGACCCAAGCTACTTGCAAGAACGGGAAAATCTTACCCCGACATAAAATGTGGTTAATGTCATAAATGATTACATGACATCAATAAATATTGTTAGAGAAGCAAAGACTTGCCTAAGCTGAGATAGTGTTTGCAAATCTGATTCAAATGTCAATGTCATATCTTACTTGCATTCCTTAGAATTCTTAAATAATATAACGATATCTAGTGTGCCCAATCATTAATTAAAACTAAAGGTTGAGACACCTATTATGCTGTTGAGAAATATTGATAAGTCTATGGGTTTGTGCAACAGAACTAAGCTGATTAGCACAAGATTAGGAACCCATTTGATTTAGGGGAAAGTGATGAGTGGTAAGAATGTCAGCCACGAAGTAGTGATTCCTCGAATTTTGTTCACTCCTTCAGATGTGTGGATTCCCTTTAAGTTCTAGAGGAAACAATTTCTGATCAAGACATCCTACACTATGACGGTTAACAAAAGTCAAGGCCAATCATTGAAGCATGTGGGGTTATTTCTCAGGAAACCAGTTTTTAGTCATGGTCAACTATATGTTGTTATCTATTGAGTAACCAATCAACATGGGTTGAAGGTGTTAATTTGTAATGATGACCCAACAACTTCGAATATCAGAACGAATGCTATTTACAAAGAAGTATTCAAGAACCTTTAGTTTATTACATTGCAATTTTTTCCTATTTCTCTTCAATATTGACATGTAATATTTTTAATCTTTATATTAGAATTAAGGTGTTTTACATGCTTACTTTTTATACTTTCTAAATTAAATATACTATAACCATACACTATCCCAAATTACAGTCCGTGCAACACACGTTAGAGATCTAGTTTAAATAATATATAAAGAGCTTCTGAAAAGTACAATTAATTTAAGAAAGCACGGAAAAACCTGAGAAATATCAGGAACAAAAATGTTGCATGTGTCTTGTATCTGATCTCTGGTAATTCAAAACACGCGGGGAAGAAAAGTGACATCAGCGCCACATTGGTCCTAGAAACTAATGCAAAAGTATGCATTAATTAATCCTGTTGGGGAAAGGATCTAGACCCCATCTTTAGGGGGAAAAGTTAGGGTTTCAATGTAATAAAGTCGAAGGAGCCTTCTTCATTATGGTTTCCACCCTATTTCAATAATTGCAAGAGACAAATCCAACCATAAATTAGGCCTGAGCAAATTATTGAGGTTGTTGGGGCCTTATTTTGTAAAAATTTATTAAGGTAGAAAATTGAAAGAGTTGAACACACCATGTTCATTTAGGTCATCATCGCATTTAGGCCATGGGTGCACAATTCCGACCCAGAGCAAATGATTGAGGTGGACAAAACTTCTTCCTTGAAGTCGCCTTAGCATCTTCTTTGTGTAGGAATATGTTGACCCTCGTGTTTTGTTAATGACAAACATGTAATGGTTCTTTTGATGATGATTTGGAGTGCTTAACAAGTTTCTTAGGATATCAAATCAAGCTTTGAAGATATAGAGGTTTTCTAGATTTTTTTTTATTTTTCTTGAGTCTTAGCACTTTTGTTAAAGAGTATGACACACTTCTTTATTCTCCAAATCTTCCATTCTTCCAAAAAGTTTTTCTTAAAAATGGTTTTTGAATTCTTTATTAAATCTATTCAAAGATTGGCATTTTTCAAATTTCTATTCAAATAAATTTGGTTTTATTCGAATAAATCTATGTTTTTGCACTTTTGAACTTTGTTCTGAACTATTCGAATAAATCTCAAACTATTCGAATAAGGTTGACTTTCTAGTCATGCAGTTCATCCTGCTTTATTCGAATAGTTTCACACTTATTCGAATAAGTTCTGGATCCGTTAACTACGAGTTTAGCCTGACCTATTTGAATAAGTCTGCTTTTAGTCGAATAGTTCGGCAGTTTCAAATGTCCAACGGCCAGTTTTTTCAAATGTCTTGGAAGTTACATCAATCCTATCTCTATATAACTTCTGCATATCTCGTTTGCCACATATGACAATACCAAGAAACTATTGAAAAACATATCCCTTTGATTATTAAAAGAATTCTATTCAATCCTATCATCCTCCTACTCAATTGTCAAGTGCTTCTTAGAGAAATCTATTTCATTTGGAGTTTGGAGAGTTCTAGTGCGCCATACATTATACGTAGGTTGTAATCTATAGAAAATCCGCTCTTGTTTGCAGAGTATTTTTGCTGTGCACTTTGATTTGTAAGTTTTTAATTTGTAAAAACTTGAATTTGAAATGATTTAAGTTTTGGATTGAAATCCAAAGTCTTGTAAAATCAAGACTTCGGTGAAAAGGTTAGAGGCTTGTGAAATCAAGTTTTCGAGTTGTATTCGGATTGTTAAACTCCGTTAAATTTAACGAAGTTAGTAGAATCTTGGGCACGTTCGCCTTGGGGACTGGACGTAGGCGTTAGGCCGAACCTCAGGACATATCGTTGTTTCTTTCCATTCATTCCTTTTAATTGTATTCTTTCTTTGGATTTTCTTCTGCGATTTGTGCCTTGTCAAAAAAGTCTTAAAAAATCCAAGAACACCTCTATTCACCCCCCTCTAGAGGTGTGCAAGACGTCTAGCAATTGGTATCAGAGCTTGTTGTTTTACATAGCTTTACCGCAGGAAATAAGATGATGGCCGAAAGATTATTTCAAGAAGGAATATCCGAAGGACAATCCACTAAACGTCCTCCACTCTTTGACATAACTAATTTTGCATATTGGAAGGAAAAAATGAAAACTTTTGTGCAATCAAATGATTATGTTTCATGGATGATCATCAAATATGGAGACACAATTCCATTCAAGATTGTTGACGGAGTCCGTATATCCAAATTGGAATCTGAGTTCAATGATGAAGATAAGAAGAATGTGATACAAAATCAAAAGTCATCAACTATCTTTATTGTGCGGTCAATTCAGATTATTATAGAAAGATTTCACGTTGCAAAACCTCTAGTGAAATGTGGAACAAGCTCGAAGTAACTAATGAGGGCACATCACAAGTGAAAGATGATAAAGTGGACTTGTTACTTCATGAATATGAATTATTCTCAATGAAACCGAATGAAAGTATTGGTAGCTATTTTGAGAGATTCTCAAATATTGTCAATAATCTTGACACTCTCGGAAAGCATTACACTGATCATGAATTGGTTCGGAAAATCTTGTGGTGTATGACTCTCGAGTGGAAATTCGAGGTAAGAGCTATTAGTGAAGGAAGAGACTACAATACCTTGACTTATGATACTCTAAGGGGAGAGCTCCTTACTTATAAAATAGAGAAATTTACCTAAATAGGACTAAAACATAACCTCCGATTATATCTTCCAAATCGTCTACACTGACAATACTTTTCCAATATAGGACCATATGTATTTATTTCCCAATGTAGGACTTTTGGTTTTTATCAAGTAGTCATTATTCAACTAAATGTCTAGAATTACTGGACATTATTCCTCCCACGAGGTCATTATTAAGTTATATTTAGGAAATAAAAAAGTTTAAGTCTTATATTAGGAAAGTCATTATGTTTTAGTCCTATTTAGTACAAATTTCACTATAAAATAACCCTTATCTATTCTCTATGAGAAAACAAACAAAAGAAGTCCATCGTACTAAGGGGCTGTTTGTTTTAGCCTCTTAATGGTTCAGATGTCTGAATGGTTCAGCACTTAATGGTTCAGACTGTTTGTTTCAGCCTCTTAATGGTTCAGATGTCTGAATGGTTAAGAGATTTGCCTCTGAATGATTAAGTATTATACAGAGTCTGAATGGTTAAGACCTTTTATCTGAATTGATCAGACATTTGCCTCTGAATAGTTAAGCAATATACTAGCTCTTAATGGTTCAGACTTCTTACTAGTTCAGCACTTAATGATTCAGACCTCTTACTAGTTCAGCACTTACTCATTATTCATAAGTAAGTTGCCAAACACCCCTAAGTCTTACCAAGCAAGTAGAAGAAAGAGAATCACTATGAAGATTCAAGCGATCTGGAAAACAATCCCGAACTCGCTCTTGTAATCAAACTTTTCAACAAGTTTGTCAAGAAAAATTTCAAGACAAGAAGGGACAATCCCTTGCCAGTCTAGTAGATTTTACACCCTCTACAACAAGGACAGACAACGTTCCAACAGGCTCTTACTTGCAATGCGGCGACGCTGCAGTATAACGGACTCTTCAATCCGGCGACGCTGCAGATAAACACACAACTGGGCAGTCTGCCCATCTTCCCATTTCCACCGGCGACGCTGCAGTAGAATCCACGGAATCTAGCGACCTCCGGCTTCAGGTGTACTCTCATTTAACTTTTTTTCGTAGAACTTCAGTAGAATTTCATCAAATTGCTATACTTTGTAGTCTGTATTCAGAATTAATCCTGAAGGTTGTGTTTATTTGGTGCTTATTGTTATACTTTGTGGTCTAAAATCCCGAGACTTAGATCTGATTGTTGTGAATATTTTTTGGTGCCTCTTTAATTGTTATGCTTTGTGGGTTATAAATTCAATGGTTGAACCCTATAGACAACAGTCGCACATCCTCAACGGCTTCTAGGGCTGTATTAGTTCTATTGTTCTTATGGAATACTCTGTAGGACAATAAATACCCATTATGACAATTTGTTGAAAGATTAGGTGATAATATAAACAATGGGGTGGCAATGTTCTCTTTTGATGAAAATAGTGCAACAAAAGTAAAAAGGGTCGTACACTATAGTTAGAGCTCATCTACTAAGGGAGAACAAACAACAACCCAGTTGGATCCCACGAAAGTAGGGTCTGGGGGGTGCGTGTACACAAACCTTGCCCCTACCCGAAAGTAGAGAGGGTGTTTCCAAGGAAAACGAATTAATGTGTGCCCGAAAGTAAATCCAAGGGATATTATTAAGCTTTAAGAGTTTAGAAGATGAAGCTGATGCATATAGGTAATTAATTGCTCATTAGAAATCTCAATTGGGAAAAAAATGCTCTTCTTTGTCATCTCCTTTTGCTCCACCTTCTTCAAATGGGGAAACTGTTTGTGGGAATTTTCTAAAAAGAAGACACAAAAATGTTAAAGCCTTTGATCTACAGGCCCATAATCAATTGAAGGTCAGATGTTTTTTACCGGAGGATTGTATTTTAATTTTGCTAGATATGTCCCTTAGGCTTATAACAAATTGAGAACCACTTTTTCGCAACAAGAAAGAGATAATGCTGGCAGATTCTTAGAGCCTCTTAGGGGAAATTGGAGGGATAAGGGTGTGAGCATAGTATCTAATGGATGGAGTTACCCTCAACAAAGCCCCTAATGGACAGAATGATTAATATAGCATTCCTACCATTCCATGTAAGGTTTGCGCCTTTGCGGCTAGTTTTTTTTCATAATGTAGTTGAAAGCATAAGATCTTGCTGGTTGATCCAAAATGGTATTTGGAAGGAATCTTTTTTCAAGGCAACAGAGAACATTGATCAAGGAATTTTGTTGTAGAGATTTCAAAAATTGACTCCAAAAAGATGGAGTGATAATTGACATAATCAATTCATCTTATCAAGCGCTCTAAAAGGCTGGAAAATTTGAAATTCAAGCCTTTTGTAAATAATTGTTTTGAGACAAAACTCTCTAAAAAAGATTTGTGATCAGTCATTTATTCTAAAAACCTGTTTTTTTTATAAAAGAGTAAATTTCATAAATGGTCCCTAATTATAATTGGTTTTCCATATTTAGTCCCCAATTTTAAGATATTACATAAATGGTCCTCAAATTTTGAAAACTATTCCATAAATATTCTTTTAGGCCAAATATGTCAAAATACTCTTTCCATGTATAGTCCTTGACTCCCTGAAGGACCGATTCTGGAATAGTTTTAAAAAATTGGAGACCAGTCATGTAATATCTTAGAATTGGGGAAAATTGCATGTAATTAGGGACCATTTACGGAATTTACTCTTTACAAAATCAAGGCTTGTTTTACTTTTGGGTCACCCATGTTCCAAGTTTGCTCCTTCCCAACTTCACCCAAATATTGGGAAAATGAACAATGTTGTGTGTTTCTGTGACTGTGTGAGTGGTGAGCCAAGCTTAAGCATGAGTGGAGTCAAAATGGTTTAACCCTTTTTTTATCTAGATAAATAATTTGAGTCATAGATTGTTTGGTGAAGAATATTTATTATGAGTAACATGCCTACTGCTAAAGGATATTTCTCATGCTCCATCCCCCAACTACACTGCTTGCCCTTGACCGACATCACCCTGGGTGAAGAACATCTCTGCAGAGACGCTGTTTTTTTTAGAAAAGGCTCTCAGTTTTGTAGGTATCAATTGCTGAGTTCTTGTTTCATACTTAGAGTTTCTATTTCATATGCAAGTTTCAAGTTGTGAGCATCAAATATTATTGTTTCCATGTCTGCATTTGGATTCTTTGATACTAATTCTGATGGTTGTGGTTGAGGAGGGGTGCTCTTGTGATCGCTTTCTGTTTTTTAAATTTATCCCTTTTTCACATAATAATTCCGACTTTCACCTTCCCCATTATTCAAAGTTCAAACCAATAATTAACACATTGTATATTCAAGAGAGTGCACCCGTCCATGCTTACCTCATTTTATAGAGAGACTGTGTACACTATAAATTACCTAATTCAAGTGAGTGACACAGTTAAGAATCTGTAAACTCAAGTGTGCTGGTTCAATTGAAATGCTTCATCCAAAATAGCGTACTACGATAGACAAGCATGGTTATCAATGGCCATTTTGCGCCATCGGCGATTCGAGGAAGCTTGTCCACTAAAATGGTTATGGCGTTGGGTATACCCGTGGTAGTGCCATAGCCATATGCTTGCCATGCTTTTCGTTTTTTTGGCCCACTCCATATCATTTCAAGTACAATCCAAAAAAGAGTGTAACGTGATCTGAGATACAACCTTCGGCTTCGGTATTTCTTTGTCTCCACACTCATGCGGCATTCTCTAACAATCTAACGCTATGTTTGGTTCAAGGAATTGGGAAGGAAAAAAAAGAAAAACAGATTTATCTCTTTTTTTCTCACCAAAATGGAAGAAAAGTTGTTTTTCTTCGTCTTGGTTTATTTTTTCCACTCATTTTCTTTTTCTTCCTTTTTTGCTTCTTTTCCTCTCTAATCAATTATTTTCCATATCCTTTTCTTCTTTTCTTTTTTTCCTTTCAAATTCTTTGAACCAAACATCAATAGTGTAAGTTGCAACATCTTTGATACTAAGTCTCTTGGAGACCGGAACTCGATCTACCTCCCGGGTGACCTACCCTGCAAACGACTTCCCGCAGTCTTTCTTCCTGATTTGCGACCTCTGACCACCTTTGATCTCTTTTCATATTTGTATACTCCCTTCGTTCAACAATAATGTTCCCGTTGAGCATTACGATGTTTGACTGAAGTTATTTTAAAATCATTTTATAAGAAAATTGTATGGACTTAAAAAATAAAAATAACATATTTAAAAACTACATGAAAGATCTACAAAACTAGAGGTGACATGACTATATTATTTTATCAAATGGACAACAAAAATGCGCCAACAAAGTGATAAAGTTTGACCTTTTGAATAGTGAACGAGAAGATTATTATTGGATGGAGGGAGTATAATTTACCTGTTTTTTGTTGATAAAGGCAGAAAATTTTAGGGTCAGTTTAAAAAGGGGGAAAATGACTTTGAGAATTCATTTTCCCCATTTTCCGGTGTTTGGGAAAGAAGTCAAAGGAAATGAGGTGCGGTCAAATAGAAAATGTGCCCTGAAAAAAGGAATTTCACTTCTGTTGTTTTTTTTTCAGGAAGACAATTTCCGTAAGCGTCCATCTCCTCTCCAACCCCATTCACTCTGCATCTGGTTCCGAAAAAATACATATCCGTCTCCTCGCCTTATCCCTTTTGCTCTGCTTCTGGTTTCGATCATCACAGCAAGGAGAACATCACCCTTTCTGCTTTGCTTTTGGTTCCTTCCGTTCCCCAAAATTTCCGTCCCCATCATCACAGCAAGGCAAGGAGCACATCCTCAAGGTACCAGATCTGTTCTCTAGATTGTACCAATTTTTCTTCCATTTTGATTTCTAATCGTGGGGGTGTTGCCAAACATCAAAAATAAGGAAAATGACTTCTGGAATAACTCATTTTCCAAAAGTCATTTTCCAGAAATCATTTTCCTCATTTCCACCTTTCCAAACGGACCCTTATTAGAGAAGAATAGAAGGTGTAGTTACATCAGTAATGATACAACCACAAACTGAATGCATCAAAGAATGCAAAGAATTAAAGCTAGTGAATTGAGCATGGAGAAGTATATATATTGTGGCTGGGAGAGTAACTTGAACCTCTGCAATGTAGGGATTGGTTACCGGAAGAGGAAGAGAAATAGCAACCATTAGTTCTCCTTTAGGGTTACACAGAATAACACCATCTACTGCTGAAAGATGACCCTAAGTTGTATCTGTATTCAACTTAAGTTTACCCGGGGGAGGTAACATCCATTTCAAAACCCTTACATGACCCAAACCCTTTCAAATCTATTGCAATTTCTAGCAATTTTTGAATCATTAAATCTATAAACGGAGTAATTTACTTGTTTTTATACTAGTACTTAAAAACTTGTTTCCGTGCACTTTTTTTGTTACAATAAGGCTATTTAACTCAAATATTGCATTATTGGTGATATAATTAGAGACCCATATTTCTAAATTTAGTTTACTTCTGTGTCATGTGGTGATGCCATAAATGCGCCATGGCCATTTCCGCATCAAAATGGGTCATCGCCACCGTTACTGCCATGTGCCATGACAACTATGTACACAGGGTACAGAAAGCGCAACTATGTCAAACAGAAAAGCATGAAAAACACCCATATCTGTTAATCTTGAAGCTTTATGGCCATTTTTCCAGTTTGTGTTACTAAATCCATGTCTCCATGTCTTTGTGTTACTTGAGGCTCACATTTTTTTATATTTCAATTTACATCTATTTTCAGTTACTTTGTGTTACTTAATCCATGTCTCCATGTCTTTTAGTTGCCATTAAACATTCTAGAGGATTTTTGTGGATATCATCGAAATGGAGGCACTTTATGCAAAGCTCTATAAAAATTACACTAAGCTCAAGGTCAGTCACTGCTTTGTGTCAGTTTCATTCTTCCTTTTCCCTGATGCAAATACGTCCATGGTCCTCAGGTCCATTCCAATTATATGGACCTTGCTGATGTGGACTCCTTAGTATTAGTATTAGGATTACGATTAGATTAAGGGATTAGGATTAGAATTAGAATTAGGATTAGGATTAGGGGATTAAAATTAGGATTATGATTGGGCCTTTTTCCATATTAGCTTCTAAGCCCAACAACTTTTACTTTTGTGATAAGGTCCAAGAATTAGGCGTGGACCTTGGGTGCACGGAATCACCACCCTTTTCCTAAATACTTGTAACATCCTTAAAAAAATCTTTGTTTGGATGACAGGAAGCAAATGCAGAGATGGAGAAGCTAAATCGTGAACAAGAAGAGAAGTTAATGAATCGTATAGCTGGTGAGTAATTCAATATATTCAAACCCGCTGTTTTTTTAAGTTTGCATTCTGTGGTTACTTTCTTGATAGTGTGCTATTCTCTTCTCTCTTTAAGATCCCAGGTAGCTTTTGAATGGATCAATATTATAATAATATAATGCTATGTTACTCAGAAAACTTATATTCCATAGGGAGTGAAATTTTATGTTATTCCCTGTTTGCAAATGTTTTTCAAATAACTGTTATAGTTGTTTTAGCAAAATTTCAGTGGACCATTTTCGCTTAAAATGACGGTTTATTTTTCTGGTTCAGCTTCTGATAAATTGATAGACTCCTTAAAAAGTGAAAGAGATGAACTGTGCCAGCAAGTGCATGAGTTGAAAAGCGAATTGGTTTCACTGAGGTACCCTTTCTCCAAGCCTCCCCCCCCCCCACACACACACACAAACAACACACACACACACACACATAAGCACCACCACCTTAAAAACCTTTAGAAATTTAAGAGTAAAATACATTAAACCTTGGTGCAGAGCAACCAAAGATGAAGAGCTAATTCGCTACCAAAAACTTTTGATGGAAGAGAACCTGAGGAGTACGGATAAGATTTTCCTATAAATCTTCAGTATATTGATGAAACCTATCTATCCTACATTGACATTTCAAAGTATATATTTGTTTTTTGAAATGTTTTGGTGCCTCAAACTCATTGTAGATAAAGATCTATCAATGGAAATTGAGAAGCTTCGAACTGTTGAACAAGAGAGACAGGATAATATCGTTTCTCGAGATTATGAAGATGAAAGTGGACGAAAAAATTACAATGGGTATGTTTCATCTCATGCGAGGAGGCGTCGTAGGCAATCTCTTCCTCTTGCCATTGAGTATCCAGTAGACGAGACATCCGCTGCTGCCGGGGAGGAAATCTTGGATGGTCTCACAAGCGAACCTGATAAAGATTTATGTAAGATGATAGAGGTTAGTGCTATCCTTGCGAATATCTGTGAGGGGTGTGGTAATGTTATGCATCCAAAATGTAATTCTTGCACTTTCTATTTTGCTACCATGACACTTTTTATATTTCTTTTATTCCAGGCCCCGTGCCGTAGAAGACTAAAAAATGATTCAGGTATATCATAATACTGAATTGATCTTTGTCTGTCTAACTCTTGTATGATGGATTGCTTTAGTTAATGAGGCAACTGATGCAGAGCATTCAGTCTGCATGTTTCAAGAACTGATTGGCTGTATAGTCGGTATGAAAATATCACCACTCCAGGAAAATGAGGAAAGTTCAATCTCGGTCCTACACGAGCCAACTGGTAATAATCTTTAAAAAATTATCACTGCTTGCTTCTAATGTAAACTTTTTAAACTAATCTAGGATCCTGACTTTATCCCAGTCCTTGTAAAAGATAACTTTGCAAAAAAGAGTATATGGTGGAAGAGATGGGGGAGACACACACACACACATGTCAGAGCATCTTTTTTATACTCCCTCCTTCCATAAGAGTTCTCTTTCCGTTGTGCAATATGATGTTTGGTTGAAGTTATTTTCAATTCATGATTTATGAAAATTGGTGTGTAACTAAAAAATAAAAACTATATATTTAAAAACTATATCAAAAGATCTACTAAACTAGAGGTGACATGACTATTAATTTATCAAATGGGCAACAAAAATAGGCAAACAAAGTTTGAACCTGTGAATAGTGAATTAGAAGTTGTGGACGGAGAGGGTAGTTAAATTTAACATGATGTGTAATTCAACATTTTTTCGAAGTCTCTTTTTATGACAGTAATTCAACCCTCCCCATTGTAAATGTTCTTTTACCTTATTAGGCGTATATTAAGCAGTGGACAGAAATGTGCATGTTTCTTTATTTGGAAAGTGAATAAAAAAATCCAAATTCACAGTTTTTATACATTCAGGCTATGCATTTACGCTGAAGTTGATAGACAGCTCAGGCGGGGGAGAAGCAGAATGGGTCTACCGACTATCGTCTCTGGGAACTCTCAAGAGTGTCTCAACCAAATGGATGAGAGAAAGTGTGATAAGGTTCAGCACAAGTATGTGCCCCATCTTCTTCCAAAGGCTTTCCCGCGTTATTCTGCTCTGTAGTTAGTTGCTGGCGTTGCACTTTACTCAATCAATCATCTGACTGACTGTTGCCTTCTTCTTCTTCTTCTTTGGATTGATTGCATGCATCTTCTTCCCCCACTTTCATGTAAATACTCTTAATTTTTGTCTATCACAAGTGTACAAAGAGACCCTCAATCTCTCACTGTCATGTATGCCATTCATTGCCCTCTTTTATGTAGGGCCTTGTTTTCTTTGGTTTTTTTCTACCTATCGCTTATTTTTATTGAAATTATATTAGACAAGATTAGATTAGATCAACACTAGTTTTAATAATACGGAGTACTATAATTAGATCAAGCCAAAAATTATATGTTGATGATATCAACATATATACTCCATCTGTCTCAAAATAAGTTTAACAATTTGATTTCATGGAGTTTAAGGAAAATTTTAGAAAACGATTAGTGGTGATAATTTGTATAGAAAAGAAAAATATTGGACTAAAGTAACATTGTGTTTTTTGTTTGGAAAAATTACCTAAAATAATTCCAATTTTACCCGGTCTTTCAAAAATAATCCCACCTTTCACTGTGATGCATAATAATCCCAACTTTACTTAAATTTGCCAGTTTTGGGTGCCGTTAAGTTTTTAACGGAGGGTTAACGGAAATGTCCGTTTTAGGCAACAAAATGAAAGTTGTGATTATTTTGATGAATTTTCATTTTTTTTTTTAAATTTTTTAAACTACTTTCTACCTCCATTATCATTTCTTTTTCCTTTTTTAAAGATTAATCTTAGTTTAAAAAATAAAAATAATAGATATAAAAATGAAAAAAATGAGAAATGTAACTAAAATGATACAAAAATAATAAAATAAATAAGGTAATCAATGGAAACTAACTTAAAATTGGTAAAAGTAAAATAAAAATATATGGGTGGGTTTTAATATTTTACGCATTATACAAAGTATTAACATATCACTTCTTATTTTTTAGAAAAAATTATCTACGATAATTCCAACTTTACCGGATGGCTTGTTCTTTTAAAAAATAAGTAGTACATTAATACTCCGTATAGCGTGTAAAATGTTAAAACCCACCACTTCGTATATATTTATTTTATTTCTTACCAGTTTCTGTTTAATTTATATTGATTACATTATTTATTTGATTAATTTTGTATAGTTTTAGTTATTTTTCTCATTTTCATTATGTTTATATCTATTTTTTCTAAGGTAAGAATAATCTTTAAAAAAGAAAAAGAAATGGAGGTTGAAAGTAATTCAAAAAAGTTTAAATAAAAATTTCAAAAAAAAATTAAAAAACAAAAATTCATCAAAAATAATCTCAACTTTCATTTTGTTGCCTAAAACGGGCATTTCCGTTAACCCTCCGTTAGAAACTTAACGGCGACCCAAAACTGGCAAATTTCAATAAAGTTGGGATTATTATGCATCACAGTGAAAGGTGGGATTATTTTTGAAAGACCGGGTAAAGTTGGGATTATTTTGGGTAATTTTTCCTTTTTGTTTTGGAACATTTTTTGAACGAAGGCGTAAAATTTATTTGAATGGAGGTAAAATCTATTTATTGGTTGATATCAATGTGGGTAACCAAACATAGATTGTCCACAACCATTTAACTTATTAAACTTGGAAGTCGTCGGTGGACGTTGCGTAGTTGGCAAAGAGTGCAAAAGGGTAAGGCTTGAATTCGATTTCTCGTAACTGCGCTGGGAGGTAATTATGTTAAGCATAAGACATTTTCAAGTACCAGGTTCGGTTTCACTCTTTGTCACCAATCTGGGATCAAAATCTAATTTATTTTCCCTCAGTAACCGTTCGATTGGGTCTGAGGGAGCTCTCGAGAATGAGGCTCATCGGTTTTTTTTAATTAAACCTATAAGCCTACACCACTTTTCTAAGTTCAACAACAAATCTTTTTAGAACATGATCTAAAACTTATTTAAAAATATTTTCTAAATGAAAGAATTCAAATAGCCCTAAAAAAATTAGATTAATTTTTTCGGTCTGATCACTTCCATTTTCTTCATTTTGTTTATCATTTTTTTCTCAACCATACATTGGGAGCTGATTTTTTGATCAATAAGGCTTTTTCGTTTTTGAACGACTTTAAAAAGATGTACATATATCTAATATTTAAAAATATTAATGTGACTAATTGTATTCTTCTCGTTTGCATAAATTTTAATAATGCAATTTTTATTATGAGTATTAAAAGTGAAATCACTCGAATGGAAAATGCTATTTTGGAAAAAATTAGAATTGATAAATTATTACGAGTAATAAAAACACAGTTTAAGAGCAATAACAATTTAATATGAAGATAATTAGAGGTCTATTCTCTCTGTCCAAATTTAGTAGTTCACTTTCTAAAAATCTCATTTTTAAGAAGAGAGTTCAAAATGTCAAATTAAGTTCTTTAAATGGGTTTGTGACTCATTCTTATATCTCCAAGTCTCCAACCTTTTTTCATCATAATTTCTAGATTGAATATACAAAGTGAACAAATAATTTCGGACAAACAAATAATGAGAAAATGCACAACTAAATCTAGAGAACAGGAGTTGCGTTTTAGAAAGTGAATCCAAAACCACCTTAAGAGCTGCTTTTCAGATTTCGATTCGAGTCATGGAAAATGATTGTCTTATCCAATCCACTATGCACATCTAGATCATTATGTGAATTAGTGAACCACTTAAAAGAGGGAAAAAAATCAATCCACAAACTACAAACTAACCAAAGCATGAGTTAATCTTTACCCTCACCAAAAACAAGAAGAAGAAAAAAAACCATTATTATGCTATACCAACTTATGATCTTCAATTTAGGGGCAAGAAAAGAGAGTGGACATATATGGTGGCATCCGTGGGAAGGAAGAATCAAGTTGAATGTGTTCTTGACGCCCATATACCAAATACAAGAAACCAGAAGACGAACAATATTGCCCAGTAGCGTGCAGGTCCATACTGGATTCTCGTCAACACAAACTGCATTTATAAGAAAAAGCAAATGATTTCTAATGCAAATACATTGTTTTCTTAATTCGGTCAACACCGACTGCATTTATAGGAAGAGGAAAGGTTGCTCCCACGTTGTATGAAGGAATAGCAACTTACAAAGCGGAAGAAGACTACAACTGTTAAAGCACATACGCCCCCAAGAAGAACATGCAGCCCATTCTTTGCAGTTTTCTGCACAACAAAAACACCCGTAACCAAGACAATGAAAAGGGTATATGTGTTGAACATATGTGGCGGCATTGAACGTTTTCTTGACCACCCATACGCCAAATAACGTTTACAAGGTTTCAAGACAAACAATTTTAGAAATGGGCCAATGGAGAGAAAAAAAATAATTTTTTTTAATTACCTCTCCAACATGAGGAGCAATGAGCCAAGCAAGAGTTACAGTAAGTAGCCCTGTGGCAAGGAGGATCCCAGTACATTCTACAGCCCATTTGGTTGCATTATTTTCCGTTGGGGAGGCTTCATCTTCAACCATATCAAAAGTTGAAGGTTGTTCAGTAACAAGTGAAACAGCGGTGGCGTTGTTACGGGGATTGAACCACAATGAAATTTCACTCAACCTTAGCCTGCGAATAGCTGCAACAGCATCAGGATCTACGCTAGAAGAGTTTTCCGGGAACTGTGAAGGAATAGGCTCTCCATTAAAAGTTTTATCTCTTAACATATTATATGCTTTCAAACAGCTCACAACTTTATTGAAGTCCTCATCTCTTATGTGAATAGCTTTACTCCCACATATCTCACAGATGGTGGATCCATGGTTGACAAACCACTTGAGTGCACATGCATAGTGTACAAGAGCAAGATCATTTTTGCAGTCACATCCAAGTTTAATTAATGTTCCCTGGTTATGGTAACCGCCCGTTTCAATATCAGCATTGCAAACAAAAATATCGCCATCAGGACCAACGATTTCAACAAACTTAGATCCCTTGTTAGCTTCGGTCATAACACTGCAATCATTTTCATCATCTTTTATTTCTTTGCTGCGATCATGTTGAACCTGCCTATTTATGTCCTGTGTGTTACTTGATGGAGGGATTATACGTAGAGTTTCCAGCACAGCATCTCCCATTTTGTCAGTTTCAGCACATTGGCACACCCGACAAGTTGGCAAGCTGGCGTCCTTATCCAGACTAACCCGTGATATAGTATAACTTGATTCTTCATTTTTGATGGGTGCAATGCCTACCCTTGTCAAATCACTGTCTTGGCATAAATTCCCACTTTCCATCACACATGAAGTTTACATCTATACTACTCTCCTTTCGATAGTTATTGCACTATGCATGAACATTTGAAAGCAATGCCTTCATGGATTTAGACAGTAGTGTGATCCCCTGTCATATTGATGTGGATAGAAGTCAAAAGTTAGAAACTAAACATCATTTCTGCATCAAACATAAATCACATAAGTGTGCTATCTTCTTGTGGCTTAAAAGAGGCCAGCCATGAGAAGAGAAAGCGAGGCTAGCAAAGATGTCCATAAATCATAAAAAATGACGAGGTAATCACTATTCTTTGTTAACCCAGTTTTGGGTTTTGTTTGAGTGCAACCACAGAAATTACAAGTTATAACTCACCAGTGTATTGTGTAGGTTCTTCAGTTTTGTAGATGTATATTACTGTAAGCTTGAATTGCAAATTTTTGAGTTCTAACTGATTTGCAAATATATGGGATGTTGCAGGCAAGCAAAAATGATAAGCAATCTATGTATTAATGCAAGCACATTGGTGTCTAAAAGTGATGCCATCATGTCAGGTGAAAGTTGTGGCACTTTGTGAAAAATTACTGCAGTAGCAAGGATAAACTCTCATGCCTCATGAATTCCAAGTGCATTCCACTTAGAAGAAACCAGAGCTACGAAAAATGAAATTTCAATACAATGACACTTGTTGGTGGAAAAATTAAACCTTTTGTTTTCCCTTTTATGTCATCTTATTTCATTATCCCATATGCAACGACTCTGAAAATTTAAAGACTCTAAAGCACATGGTGCATAACAAAAAAACTGAAAAAGGAGGGGAAAATGAAGATACTCACAGATGACTTAAGAAGACTGTTCGTTGGTTCATGTAGCCGACTTCATTTAAGAGTTAAGATTAAAGCTTAGTTGTTGTTGTTTTTGTATATCCTACAAGTGATTAGATACACATGGCCCATGTAAGACATTTACATTCAACTCCTTGTAAGCTAAGTGCAGGTCAATTTTGTAAATCTCATTTCAGGAAAAGACTATTACAGTTTCTATCATCTCCTTTCCTCATACCATATGCAACTGTTTCATTACACCATAGCTGAACTATCAGAGCGTAAGTTGCCAATTGGACTTCTTCGAATCACATAGTGCATAACAGAAAAGAAAGAGTAGGGAATGCAATGATACATGCATATACTTTTGCCGCCCTTGGCAATTTGGATCACAGTTGATTTTTTATTGTACACTTTCAACAAGTGACAGTATACGTGTATAACCATCATCTTCCAAAACTGTTCAAATTGCCATAGCTATCAGAGCGTAAGTTGCCAGTTGGACTTCTTCGAATCACATAGTGCATAACAGAAAAGAAAGTGTAGGGAATGCAATGATACATATACTTGTGCCACCCTTGGCAATTTGGATCACAGTTGATTTTTTATTGTACACTTTCAACAAGCGACAGTATATGTGTATAACCATCATCTTCCAAAGCTGTTCAAAATTTTCCTTAGCTGGTAGTCATCAAAGGAAGAGCCTCACTACTCCTAGAGCTAGAGGCAAGTCATGTGTAGATCTCGCCCTCCCAAAACCCTAGCTCAGAGTGAGCTATACTGGGTATGTTTGGTTAATTTTGGCATAACTAATTTATTTCAGCTTCTATCTATTATACGTATCCAATATGCAACTGTCCCATTATACGTTGTCAAAACATTAGTTGTCCACTTGGCCTTTCTAAACATGTTCAAACATATTCATCTATTTTGTTTTGATATAACTTCAATATGTGTATGTGGTGCTATAGCTGCTAATAGGAGAAGGATTCTCAAACAAATGGTTTTAGTACAACTCTATGCAAGTAACAAAATGGAGGTAGTTACACAACATGAACAGGAACCAGTGTTAATATTCACAAGCAACTGGTAAAGTGACAGTGTGATAGAATCAGAAAAGGTGTGATCCATATTACACATGTTCAAGTACCATTTGTAGGAAAGTCCATCCTTATGACTAGATGGTACAATAGTATGGGGATTGGATGTTGTAGGAGATGAGGTAGTCGGTATAAATCCCAAACGAGGAGTACAACGACAACCTCAAGGAATAATATCGTGTCTGGGGTATCCAAGGATGCAATTAATGCATGGACAGTGGCCTTTGGGGGTTCTCACAAAAAACATCAGATCTATTAATGGTTCCTCCGTTCCCATTCTATTCTTCTTTTTTTAAAAAAATAGCTCATGACAATTTTTGCATTCTAATATCAGCAAAAGTAGTTGATGGCTTGATGCATGCTACAAGTTTTGAGTTCGGAAGAATAAACGAACCAACCAAGCAAAATAACAAATGGGAACTTAGGGATCTTTTTTGTTTTCATTAGTCCTTAGTCTCTATATTTATTTACATATATGATCACATTCAACACTAGTCCTTAGTCTCTATATTTATTTAGGTCTTGCTCTCTTCAGTTTCTTTTCTTGTTTTTCCTTAGGAGTTATTCTTATTTGAATCAGACCAAAGATGATTTGAAAAATTCAGAATAAACAATAAAGAATATATCAAACTAAAAAGAGCAACCCAAATGCTATATTTCAGACAAGACCAGATCTGGAAACATTAAGATTGGACAGGACCATAAGTAGATAATGATTAATCCCAGACCGAATTTCAAAGGGTTCAAACTAGAACACATTTATATACTATATTTAGAAGCAGAGGAAATCAGGTCCCATTTTTCCCGCCCAAAGTCTCTGGCACAATCCACCATTGACGAGCCATCAGTGATTAATAAACGGCTGCGGATTGAGCCGCATGTGTTAATCCTGCAAAATTGCCCGACTCTTCATTTCTCCTACATTAATGATTTAATGGGAACTCAGTCCCTCGCCATTCACATCTACTAACGCAACAAATAGTGAAGTAAATTCTCATCTATTCTTTGAATACTTCAACCGCTTGCCCTTTCCTCATCATCAAGAAGAGTTATAAGAAGCACAAAATTCTTCAGAAAAGATTCTATTTCCAAATTGAAAATCAAATAGGAATTTCCAAAAGATTCTATGGTTTCCAGATTTTAACAATTTGATTTTTCCAAAATCTAAGATAATGCTAGGCCGCAATGGACACCATGTAAGAAAATGGTCGTGGAACATTATGGTTGTGTACTTTGAAATTTATATCCATCATTTTCGACAGCTGAGACACAGAGAGCATGCAATGAGAGTGAGAAAGGGGAGTCCTCTGCTTCACTTTTACAGAGGGACAACCAAAGCAGCTAGAGTAGCTTCAAAGTCTTTAAAGGTGAGAAATCTAACTATATAAAAATATTTTTCAAACTTTCAATAATATCTTTTCAAATCTGAGTTCTTATAATCTGAAATCTTAATTCCAGTTTTGTAATGTTGATGGTGTGTGGATATGTGTTAACACCAATTGCATATTATTTCCACACAAAAATATAATAACAAATCACTTAGATAACTCAAATACTTTTAGATGTATGAGATCATATTAATGTAGTTCAAGCTTTTTCTTATGTGCTAATGGGGGGGGGGGGGGGGGNTATAGATGTTCATTACGTAATTCAAAAAGGTTATCAATTTTGATTGTGTACTCTTGAGCATGGCTTCTGATTTTCTGGAGAGATAACCTGTACTTCCATTGTACTACTTTATGGATAAGCTCACTATGACAATAGTTCCATTTCATCTTGACATTCTTCTCCTTTCAGGTGAGAGTTGATTTTATGTCCAACTACTTTGAATTGAGATATGATGAGTAATGACTCCGTCTGTTCCCATTTGACTACATATTTTTTTTATTTGTTCTAGAATAGAAGTGGTTTTTTCAGAATTTTCTTCCCACTTCTTAGTTCCATGTCACAAAGCTGCTTTTTTCAACATAAATTTGCTCATACAAAGCTTTATAAAAAATTAAATGTCTATCTTAAGTAGTTATGTGTCGACAACTCCTAATTGCCATATACAAAAATAAGCTCCTAAATGCCGATTAGCACGCTTTAGTCATAGGTGCTGAGTTTCTTCTATGGTTTACAGGTGTTGAGTTTACTCTGCAGTTTCCTGACCAATTTGCAGTAGGATAAATGGATAATATTATAATTCTTTATGTTACATTATAACATTAGTTTTAAGAATAATTAAAAATCCAAAGTTCTTGACATTTATCTTAACATCCACTGCAAGATAAGCTGTGGAAAGCTAGGCTAGGTGGTTTGGGCATGTGAGTCGGAGGAGTGCTCACATCTGAGGGGCTTACGTTGGAGGGTGGGAGTAGGGGTAGGGATAGACCTAAGAAGTATTGGGAGGAGGTGATTCCACATGAACTAGGACTTCTTGTGCTTACTGCAAATATGGCCTTAGATAGGAGCGTTTGGAAAGCTAGGACTAGGGTAGTCGGGTATGCGCTTTTGAACAGGTGACTACACTTGTTTTTGTGTACGTTGTTTGCTTTGTTTGTGTTTTGTGTGCTTTGTATGCTCTGTGCTTTTTCTGCTTTTATATGTCTTTTGTGCTCTTATATTGTATGTGTGCTACTTGAGCTAGGGTCTCTTGAAAACTGCCTCCCTACTTTCGAGTAGGGGCAAGGTCTGCGTACACACACTCTCCCTAGACCCTACTATTGTGGGATCCAACTAGGGTGTTGTTGTTGTCTCATTTCTTATAAGTGAGATTTTTTAGAAAACGGAGAACTACATTTAGACGTAGGGACTATTCTAGAGAATATAAACAGGAAAGTGTTTTGAAATGATTGTTCTGTTCTTCCTCAATCAAAATGAGGAATTTTCACCAAAACACTAATAAATCATTGCTGATAAAAATTCAATCACAGAAGGGGATCCGATGGCAAATTAGCAACATCTAAGAACATCCACTAAATTCTCACCGAAGAAACAATTTTATATCACTTAAATTGAACAATTTACCATCTACTTATTTTACAGTTTACACAGCACCCGTCCGTTTATTTTATCTTACCAAACATATTTTGAGTTCAATGATAAAAACAAAACTGACAAGGAGAGGTGCAACAATGGATTCTACAGAGAAGTGAATCATATTCACTCCGGATGCTTTACCGGTAAACGCCTAGTTAATTAATCGCAATAAAAGCAGGATGCAAAAAAAAAACGAGAAGGAAAAGAGAGCGGGGAAACCTTTCTACAAATTGCGAATCCGGGGCGTTTGAGCTCGCATAGACTAACAGAAGGGATAATCGAGGCTCAACGGAGAGCGCAGCAATGTCGCGATGGAGAAGAAGGCGGAGCCGTGAACACTGAACAGCCTGTACTGTGCATAAAGCGGCGGTGAAATGGGCATTTACTAATTTACTAAAATTAGTACTTTTTCCTAATTTGTACCTTTTCCCCCTTCCAAAAAAACATCCAAAAAATATTTTTAAATTACAATAACTTTCAGAAAATTACTTCGGGATACTCTTGATATTTTGGTAATAAATTTTAAATTCTATATTATCTTAAATATACTTTGGGGTGCCCTTGATTTTCTGGTAAGAGTTAAGACCTCTTAGATCTACATTATCTAAAATATATATTAGGGGTTCTTAAAATGTGTGGTAATTTACTACAAGGGTACGTTCCATCTATTTAGCTATTATGATTGAAAGTTCTATTGCTTTGACCATAGTTTTGAGAACCGGATCGGAGATCGAACCGGTCAAGGTACTGGTTCACTGGTCGAACCATTTGTTTAACTGGTCGAACCAGTGGTTTAAACATATTTAAAAATTATATAAATATAAATAAATAAATATATATATATATAATATATACCCCGGAGTGTGTGTGTGTGTGTGTACACACACACACACATTCTCATATATAAATACATAAAGAAAGTAATTTATAATATTTGCCTAAATTAAACTCCCTCCGTCCCATAAAACCTTTCTCCTTTCTTTTTTTATCCGTCCCAAAAAACACTTCTCATTTCTATTAAAAAGTCACTTTTACCCCTTACTTTTTCATACCCTAACTATCACATCATACCTTTTTACTAATAATCTATCCATCAAATCATACTTTTACCCATCACATCAAAGGACATTGTTGGAAATTCAATACTAAAATACACTCTCCTTAAATCTCTCCTAAAAAGCAAAACTCCCATGTTTTACGAGACGGTGGGAGTATTAACATACTTGAGTTATTTTACTAAATTAAAACATAAAATTTACATATTAAAAATATCAATGATTTTGTGTTTTATAATACTATGTATTATATTTTTAAAATTGAAAAGGAATTTTTTTAATTATGAAATATTATAAAAAATTATACAAATTTGGATCAACAAACACTGTTAGTTGGATGGTTAGGAACTCAACCAAATAGTTAAGAGGTTTTGGGTTCAAACTTCCATGGAGTGAAGTTTTGGAAAAAAATTGCAAAAAAAAAAAATAAAAAAAAAATTAAACTGGTCGGACCGGTCCGACCGACCGGTTTAAACCGGTTCGGACCGGTTCGAAGCTCATTACGGTCCAATGGGCCGGACCGGACCGGTTGGACCACCGGTTTGCCGGTTCACAGTCCGAACCAGCTGGTCCGGTCCGGTTTTTAAAACTATGGCTTTGACAATTACTACTCTCTCCGTCCCACTGTCTTTGTCCACTTACCTTTTGGCACACCATTCAATGCACTTCTTTAATCCATTTTATCTTGTAATTTGTATATTAAAAAATTTTAGAAATTATATATTAATAATCTATATGTTAAGACGAATCAAACAACACATGACTATTTTTAGGCTTATACATTGAGAGAATTTGATGAGTCAAAGTGCTTAGATGAATAGTTCCAAAAGTCAAAAGTGGACAAAGACAGTGGGACGGAGGTAGTATTTTCTATTTGTACGTTTTCATCCATTATTTGATAAAAAATATTAACTTTGACCATAAGATTAATGGCAATGTCAAAATTTTTGGATTAGCTGGCATAACTCAAATTTGTAAATTATACAAAGCAGCTACAAGACTTGCAAAAAGTAGTAATAAATGAATCATTTTCCTTTTACTCAAAAAACTACCTAAGTTCACATCAATTTGTTGACTAAACTCCATGCCAAAATTCCAATCTCATCTCATATTCTCATCTCATTTCAAATTCTCAATATGGAGTTATTACCAATTCGTTAGCTTGTCCATGATGTCCATCCATAGTAATTATTCTCCGCCTTTCAAATTTATTTACTTACTTTAATCTTACCAGGATTCAAAATAGTTAAGAATGAGTGATTAAAATTTACCTTAAAAGAGATTTATTTTAAACCACATATTTTTTTTCTAAAATAAGAAAATTGTTATCAGACAAAAGGAATATTCATTTTTCATTTAACTTTCAAGTTTTTTGTTGTCATTTCTCCTTGAACTGTTCAAAAATTGCATGCATTTCCCTTGAGCTTTAAAAATTGCACCGATGCCCGAACTTTTAAAAGTGTTGCACCAATGGTCCATCTGTGCCAGATTTGAGAGTGCGATAATGACAGGCTCATCCAATGCAAAATATGAAGTTATCTAAAGTCATATATCGATCAACTACTTAATCAATTTATGACATCTTCATCAAGCTCCAACACGTAATTGATAAACATTTGATTAACACACTCTGAAATCTGACATGGAGGGACCATTGGTGCAATATTTTTAAAAGTTCAGGAGGCATTAGTGCAATTTTTAATGTTCAGCGTAAACCCGTGCAATTTTTGAAAAGTTCAGGGGTAATTGATGTAAAAAGTTGTTTTTAACTTTCCCTAAAATGGAAATACCAAATTCTAAATGAATTCTTGCGTAGTACTTTGTAGGTTATTTTTATGTTTCAAATGCTAGGATTGGTCAAAATAAGTATTTCCTCCTTCCCAAAAAGAATATCACACTTCAAGAAACAAAAATCTCGATAAAAAATATGATAACCCTAGGGTTCTTCCCTGTCGATCGCCATGGCCCCCTCTTTTGTAGATCTGATGGATCAACTCCCTACCAATCTCAAGCTCTTTGTCCGGAATCTTCAATCTCTTACCTCTATCAAACTAGATGACAGTAACCATCCATGCAAATCTCATTGCACATCATCTTCTTGGACGTGTAACGCCATGAAAATTGGTTAAAAAGAATTAATTAAATTAAGTATCTAATTTGAAGCGTGTGGGTCCAGCAGGCCTGAAAAAAGTTTTGGGAAAAATATTCCTAATACATTGTTATATTGTATTTATTTTCTTAAAAACGTGATCGGTTTCAAAATCGGACTACGTTTTGAAAACAACCTGAAATTCAAACAGATACACTATTTCTTCTTAAATTAGGATTTATCAAATCATAAGAATATTTAATTTTTTTGGAAAACGTTTTCACTTTGACATTTTGCTAATGACAATGTTTGTTTCCGTTTAGGTTTTGATATTGACAAACCGTCGGGAACATGGAACAAAATGAAAATATTCAAAGAGATAGAAAAAGTTCTTTGGAGAAACAAAAAGCACAAGAAAGGCATTGACGTTGCTAAAGATGGCGACATTGGCGCTTTCAAGACGTATTCTAAAGACTTATGTTTTTATTGTAACAAGCTCATTCAATTTCTCTACGTCATGGCTCAAAACAAAATATGTTTTTCATGCATCAAATGAGTGTTTTTATAAATGGTTTTTAAGTTTCTAAAACCCATGGTTCTTGCTTAACCAAAACCATAACCATCGGTTATCGGCGTTCGGCTATGGCGTTTGGTTTTTGGCATTGGTTATTGGCATTGATTTTAACCAAATGGTTTTTGGATTTTTATCCTTGGTTTAAGCTTCTGGACACATTAAAAGGTTTTCCAAATCATTATTTTTCAAAAACCATAACCTTTGTTTTTTCGGCGTTGGTTATCGGCATTCGGCGCTGGTTATCGGCGTTGGTTTTTGGCGTCCAAATCAGTAACGCCCCAAAACATACCCTAGAATTATTAATAAATAAATAATAAATTAATCAAATTCGTTTTGATTAAAATAAATTGTTGCTGGGCTTTGGACCGAAATAAAATATATATTTATATCCAATAAACATAATTGGGATAAATCTCATAGAGATAAATCATATCCAACATGTTGACTTATTATGTGATCTTGATTGGGAACCTGAGTACAGACCCAAATTAAGAATAAATGAAGAAATTGTTTATAATGTGAACTTTGAAATGATTTATTGAAATAAATCATGGAAATAAATAATATGAATTAAATGTGAGAACCTTTTTGAATAAAAGTCAATTAAACCAATTTTGACTCTGTCAAAATCAACCACCCAAAAATATGATGTCAGAAAAAGTATAACGAATAAATGTAAAAAGTATATCATTGGATAGAGTTTAATTGTACGATCGCAACGGTGCAAACAGATTTCAATTCGGAGAAAGTTGGACCAAAAAGTGTACCTCGACTGGGACCGAATTAGTCCCAATCAGAGAAGTAACGTGCAGAATCTCCTAATCACATCTCCGCTGATTGAGAACGTGAATTGGGAATCCTACGCAGCAGCAGCTGATCTTCCCTGTCTTCTTCTCTTCTTCCCTTCTATATAAAGAACCCAATTCTCCATTTCTTCACCATTCTCTCTATTTCTTCTTCCATTTTGTTCCTGAGAGTGTGGAGAGTAGAGTGGTGCTGTCCAGAGAGTTGGAGGTCGCCGGAGCTAGCCACAAATCTCACCGGAAGTTCCGCCGGAAAATCGTCAAAACCTTCATTTACCTTCGAGGTAAGCCCGTTGATATATCTAATGACTAGAATGTTCATATAGATCGTTTCTACGTTCTTAAACGGTCATTTGGTTGAGTTTGTGTTTGACATGCTTGAAGAACTAAGAATCACAAACCATGATTTTGATGTTAAAACTATGAATTAATGATGCCAAAATGATCTATGAACCTTGGAGAACATTTTTATATACTTTAATTGAAGTTTGGAGAGTAAAAATGACATTTCCGCAAGTTGACTCGAGGTAGAAGACGATGAATAGTCGACTATCAACTTAAAAATCGACTATAGCTTGTTCTGCAAATTTTTGGAACAGAGCTGAGCAACAGTCGACTGTCAGAATGTGACAATCGACTATCAGCCCTCTCAGAAGTTTGATAATCGATTATTAGAGTGTGATAATCGATTATCAGCCCATTCTGAACATCAGACAGTAGATTATCAGAAGTGACAGTAGACTGTTTCCCTACACTATTGAAGAAAATAAAGCTAATAGTTAATAATTGAATTTCCTATCATATATTAATCAATTATTGTTTAGAAAATATGATTTTTGAACTATGAAATCCTATTTTT